TGGGATGTGTTGGGCAGCACTGGGATGTGTTGGGATGTGTTGGGCAGTGTTGGGCAGCAGTGCCTGGGCTCTCAGGTCAAGGGACACGTGGGTGGGGCTGTGTGCTGGCCCTGCTGTTGGTTTCCTGCTGATCCCAACAAGGAGAGGAAAGGGCCCTCATTTGACACGGAGAGACTGGCTGGGACTTGGCTTGCTGCATCCTCGGCCAGGCCATGGGGCATCCCAGTGAGAGGATGTGGGGTGGGGAGCTCCTGCTGTAGGAGGCTGTATTTGGCTTCTTTATTCGACATTCATGAAGTTTTGGCCAAGGACCTGGCACTGACTGCTCTTTCCCCTTGCCCACAGGCTTTCTGTGACGATGCCTCTGGGCTGAAGTTCAACCCGGTTCTCTACCCCAAGGTGAGGTAACCTGCCCAGTGTGTTCTGCAGCGACACTGACAGCCACACCCAGGGCCACTGTTGAAAACTTTTTAGCCTAATTATGTGTGAATCTGCCCTTCCCTGCCCTGGTGCTGCCCAGCTGCTGTCATACCCTGCTGCAGCTCTCTGGTGGGCTCTCCTCACCCCTCACCACGGATCTTTTGGCCACCACATTTTGAACCACCAGATGAAACAATTGGCATTTTGCTTTCCTGCAGGCATCCCAGATGATAGTGTCTTATGATGAGCACGAGGTCAACAACACGTTCAAGTTTGGTGTGATCTATCAGAAGTTCAGGCAGGTGAGTTGTCCCCGTGCTGCTTTCATGGAGCATGTCCCTGTGCACCAGAGATCCACGTTTCACCAGCACAGACTCAAGCCTGGCGTTGATTCTGCCATGTGCAGCACCTCGTGTCACTGAGTGTCCTCACTGACTGTGCTTCTCATTGCTCGGGTGTTTCCCCCACTCATTAAAAAATTACGATTGAGAAGTCTCAGTATGGAAATCAGCCCACAAGTTGCAGTAGGGAAAAGCGGATGTGAAAATGGATTTTAGCAGGCGTGGTATTTTAATCAGATATATGTTTAGACAGCTAAACAGCTATGTTTGTCTGGAGGGACTGTGGGCTTGCTGAAAGTGCTGTCATTAGCAGGGGGACTCTGGATGGGGAGTGCAGAGCTCACACTCAGAACTCACTGAGAATTACCCTCACAGGCACTCTAATTATCTTACATATTGCGTTTTGGGATGGATTGAGTGACTCATTCAAGACCGTAATTAGGGTCTCATTGTTTTGAGATACAGCAAGTGCGAGATGAGCAGGGAGTTTTCAACAGAGGATTCACTTCTGGTTTGGTATTACCCAGATATTATCCTAAGGTCCTTGCAGGGGCTCAGGAGAGGCTCTCAGCAGCTTTACCCTGGGCTGTCCTGGGTGCTGAGCAGGCTGTGACAGCCCAAGGATGGGGCTGGTGGCTGGTGGCCAGCGTGGTGGCCAGCTGGGGAGCAGCCTGTGGCTGTGCAGGGCATCGTGGGGCTAGTGAGACCCCCAGGGAGCCCGTGGATGGAGGTGGCAGGGGATTGCACAGGCAGGAATTGGGGCTGTCAGCAGATGCACCCTGTGTTTTGTAGACCCAAGAGGAGGAGCTGTTTGGCAATAATGAAGAGAGCACTGCCTTCAAGAACTTCCTAAGTTTTCTGGGAGACACCATAACTCTCCAGGACTTCAAAGGGTAAGTGAGATAAAAAGGATGATTTTACAAATGCATTAACAAGAGACCATGTCATATGTAAAAATATCTACGTGTGAGAACAGAAGTCATCTCGCTTATGAGCGGGATGTGCGGAGCAGAAGCAAATATAGCTTTGGCTTGTTTTTCAAAACTGGGGGAGTTTAAAAAAAAATTTGAGCTGCCAAGAGAGAAAAACTTCTTTTCCTGCAGCTTTGAGGTTGTGATAAAATCTGGCTATATTCAGCCACGGGGGGAAGGAAGTGTGTGGAAATGTGCCGTGCCACGGGGGCCCCCGGGGCGGTCACTGCAGTGGCCACAGCGTGGGCAGAGATCCCCAGTGCTGGGGAGGGATGGGGAGGGCACAGCTGGTGCCCATGGCTGTGGCCAGCCCTGCTCTGTGTGCAGCCTGTATTTCAGGCAGGTTACAGCACATGACGCACGGTTTGTTCTTTGCCATTTGCTCGCTGCTAGATAAAGATAAACGAGCTGGGCTGTTCCCTCAGCCTGTCCCTGACAGCCGCCGGTGCTCTCTGTGAAGCTTTCAATTAATATCTCTCCGTTTCTCCCCGCCTTTCCCTTGATGTGCAGTTTTCGAGGAGGCCTGGATGTCAGCCACGGGCAGACGGGAGCCGAGTCTGTGTACACGGTGTTCAGGGACAGGGAGATAATGTTTCATGTCTCTACAAAGCTGCCTTTTACTGAAGGAGACACACAGCAAGTAAGAGGCGTGAGGTGGCTGGCACAGAGGGGTCTGAGTGGGGATGCACTGACACACCCTGGCACTGTGGGAAGTGGCTCCTTGGCTCCCCAGCCTGCACTGGCACTTGCTCCTGCAGGAGCAGAGCTGCCTGGATTTACTGACCCAACGCTCTCCTTTTCCCTTTAGCTCCAGAGGAAGAGGCACATTGGCAATGACATCGTGGCAATTATCTTCCAAGAGGAGAACACACCATTTGTCCCAGACATGATTGCCTCCAACTTCCTGCACGCCTACATTGTGGTGCAGGTGGAAAACCCCGAGGGGGACAACACAGCATACAAGGTGAGGGCAGTCCCCATGTCAGTCCCCAGCTTTGCTTCAGCATCTTTTGACCAGGGCATGGAGGGACAGGACAAGGGAGAATGGCTTCCCGCTTGCAAAAGGTAGGGTTAGATTAGAGATTAGGAGGAAATTCGTCCCTGTGAGGGTGGTGAGGCCCTGGCACAGGTTGCCCAGGGCACTCACACTGTGCTCAGGGATGCAGGCAGTGTTAGGCTGGTGGGGACTGTACCTGTGTGCTGAGCACACACACACGTGCACACAGGTGTGTTATGTGTGCACTGCTACGTGGTGTGTGTGTATACCAGTGCATAAAATACATGTTTGTAAAACAGCTCATTTATTAAGGAGTTTTGGTGGTCCTCAGTGTTTGAATGTGCCTTGGAGCAGTCTGACATATCACCGGGGTGCAGGTGACATGAACTCTCTTCTCCTGCTACACCCCTGGGACAAAAGTGTCTCTTGACTCCTCAGGTGTCAGTCACAGCCCGGGAAGACGTTCCCTCCTTTGGTCCACCCCTGCCAAGCCCACCAGTGTTCCAGAAGGTAGGAGCTGAGAGGGAAGCATGTTCCAAGCTGTAAAAAAAAGAGTAGATGTGCATATCCAAGATGTTTCCAAGCATCCCGGGGAAATGCTTGGGGAAAACAGGACTTCTGGAATTGATCTGCATTAATTTTGGTTTCCATTGAGGCCCCTGGTGTTTATGGTGGGGTGAGTGGCCATGCACCACTGCATGGCATTACTTGAGCAAGGCAGCAGCAGTGGCTCTGGTGCTGGGGCACCTGTGTTGGTGCAGGTGAGCACCTCAAACCCATCTGGGGTTTTCCACCAATGCTTCCACATCTGGAGGGGCTGCTGGGGGCTGTGACCTTGGGTTTTGGGTTGGTACAGCTGTGGTACCAGAGATGCAGGGGGTGTTAAAGTGGTGTGTGCTTTCCCCCTTGGTTCTCTCCCTGCAGAGCCCCGAGTTCCGGGAGTTCCTGCTCACCAAGCTCATCAATGCTGAGAACGCCTGCTGCAAGTCCGACAAGTTTGCCAAGCTGGAGGTGAGGCTGGGCTTGGGGAGCTCTGCCATTCCTCCTCCTCAAAGCCACCTCTCCCTGTTGCTCTGGGTCAGTGCTGGCAGGGACGAGGGCACGGTGACCATGGGCACTGCCCTGGAGGGGACACGAGCTGGTGCCAGGGGGTCAGTGCCCTCCAGGAGGAATGAGCTGGTGCCAGGGTTCAGTGCCACTGCTCCTCCCTGGAGCCTGGCTGAGCCCTGTGTGTCCTGCAGGATCGCACACGGGCTGCCCTGCTGGACAACCTCCACGACGAGCTGCACGGGCACACCCAGACCATGCTGGGGCTCGGGCCCGAGGAGGACAAGCTGGAGAATGGGGGACATGGAGGATTCCTGGAGTCCTTCAAGGTAAACCCTGCCCTTGCCAACAGCAGAGCTGAAATGCACCCGGGGTTGGCAAAGTGCATGTCGGGGGACAAGAGGAGTCCCCCAAGGGGAGGGTGGCAGGAGGAGCTGGGGGCTGATGCCACCACTGCCTGCTCAGCCTGCCGAGTGCCCAAGCTGGTCCCAGCGGGAGCAGCATGAGCTGGCAGGGTCACATTGCTGGTGCGTGCCTGCATTGGAGTGACTTCTCCAGAGCTCCTGAGCACCTCTCCACCAGTGTGCTGCAGCGGTTCTTGTGTCCCCAGAGGGGTCTCAGCCCAGTCCCCTGCCACAGGGTGTGCCTGCAGCTGGGCTCTGCTGTGGCAGGACTTGTCCTGCTCACGTTCTGGCTGCTGGCTGCCCCTGCTGTGGCACAGGGATCAGGAGGGGTGCCTGGGGGTGTGGGAGGTGCTGGTCGTTGTGCTTAAAACAGAGATAGAAAGAAAGGTGCTGTGTGTGGAGGGGGAAACGGTGCTGAGTGTGCCAGGGAGACTGGGTGAGTGTGAGGGAAAGCAGGGCTGGAGGAAAAAGAATGAGTAAAGTGCTGTGGAGTAAACTCTGAGCAGCCGCTGGCAGTAGGGACAGTGACTGGCTGCGACATCCCTGGAGAGGGAGGGGCAGCAGTCTGAGCGTTTGAGCCATTGCCAGGTGTCTGAGGTGCAGCTGTCCTGTCGTGTGGAGGGCGCTGGCACTGGGTGTGTCACTGCCTGGGCTGGGGTGTCCCGCTGCAGAGGCTCAGGTGTGTCCTGTCCAGGTGTGAGATGTGCAGGAATGGAGCTGCTGTCAGTCAGTCACACATCACGGTGTTCATGTCAGGGTCTCAGGCTGAGGTTGAGGGGTGTTGTGGCACACTCTGTGTGTGTGAGGGGACAGACCGTGCTCTCTTGGTGTTGCAGGGAGTGCTGGGGTGGGAGGTGAGCCCCATGGTCGGTGTTGGTCGCCTCTGGCCCGCGCTGCTGGGCTGCCTGCTGGCTTACATCCTGCACCGTGCCCTGTCCGAGTGACGGGGCAGGACAAGGTGGAGGAGGCTGCAGGGGCTGAGACCTCATCCCCATCGTATCTTTCTGCCTGCTGCCTCACACCCATGACCCAGGCTCCAGACCCATCCCCTTGTTCAGCTCTCAGAGGTGAGCAGAGCTCAGTTCTGCTGGGCTCTGAGTGACTGAGAGGAGCGTTTGCCTCTTTTTGGGGGGAAGGAGCCACTCCTCAAGGCTGGGGTGTTGGGGAAGCTCACAGAGTCCCACAGCCCCGGGCAGGAGCCCGCAGACTGTGAGTGCCTGTGGCTGCTTGTCAGCAAAGCAACTGGTCACTTTTTCCTGAGAACATGTCCAATTGTGTATGAATTGCTGCTGACCCAAATAAATTCAGTCTGATGGACTCTTGCTTGATGTTGATTATTGGATGGGCAGGAGGGGCTGTTGGGGCTGTCTCTTCAGCACTGGAGGCTTGGTGAGAGCTCAGGGCTGCAGATTCCTCTTCCCCTGGTGTGGGTCCCCCTGTGGCTCTGTGATCCCTGGGGGCACAGCAAACAGCCTGCATGCTGCAGGTGCAGTGCTGGCACCTTCAGGAGTTCAGCCTGCCATGGCTTTTTTAGTCTTCATTCAGGGGCTGGAGGAGCAGCAGCCGTGGCTGAGGGAATAGCTGAGGAGAGAATGGAGGAGTGGCTGATGTGAAGAGTGAGGGAAGGGGAAAAGTGAAGATCAAAGCAAGCAGGGAGAACCCGCGGCTGCCGTGGGGCCAGTGCTGCACAGCTCATCTCCAGTCCCTTCCAGAGCTGGATAGACCGAACCAGAAGCCACAGCAGCACTTCAGGCTAAATGTACTCTCAAGCAGTAGCTTGCTGAAGAACAGAAGCACTTTTATGTGGCTGTGAAGCCTCCAGCTCAGGGGCTGTTTTGGGGCAGGCTGGAGAGGTGCAGGAGAGGTATAAGGAAGGCAGGAGAGGATCTGTCCTCTCTGAGTGCAGGGACAAGTGTGGAAGGTGTGCACACTCATGGCTCGTGGCTTGGCTCTGCTCCCCATTCCTGCCGAGGGCTCTGTGGGTCAGCCAGGCAGGAGGCAGAGCTTGGAGCTTGTGTCTGCATCTCCTGGTCCCAGAGCTGCAGTCCTTGATGTCCCGGAGCAATGGGGGCAGAATCTGATGCTGTGGTGGCTTTGGGGGTCCCCAGGGGCAGCCCATGCCCAGCTGCACTGCCAGGGCTGTGTCACGAGTGTGCTCTTGTTGGGCTGTGCTTGTTCTCGGGGAGGCACAGGCGGGTTTGTCTCCCTGTGCCTGGGGAGGAGCTGTGGGGACAGCCTGTGATGACCCTGTCCCCTGTGCCACAGAGAGCCATCCGCGTGCGCAGCCACTCCATGGAGACCATGGTGGGCAGCCAGAAGAGGCACCACGGGGGTGGCATCCCAGGCAGCCTCAGCGGGGGCATTGCACACAACAGCGGCGAGGTCACCAAGACCACCTTCTCGGTGAGCATGTCCCTCTGTCCCTCTGTCCCTCTGTCCCTCTGTCCCTCTGTCCCTCTGTCCCTTCCTCTTCCCACCCCTCCACAGCCCGACAGGTCACTGCATTCTGCTGATGCAGCCTGGCTGTCTCCTGCACGGGCAGCAAGGGGAAGGGTGAGGGGGAGACTCGAGCAGGCTGTCAATTCGGATGCCTTGTTCAAGTTGGGCTCGTTTTGTGGAAGAACCGAATATAAACTTCCTGGGGTTTTGGTCCCAAGGTAAAAGGAGGTAGAAAAGAAGTTCTGGCATCGTGTGGTTTGAGATGCACAGGCAGTGCAGCTCCTCGCAGGATGTTTGGGGTCTGAGCTCCCAGCAGAGAGCTGTGCTCTCAAACCCAGGCTGTTCTCTGCTCCCAGCCCCCTGTCCCCGCTGCTGCTGCCAAGAACCAGTCCAGGAGCCCCATCAAGCGCCGCTCAGGGCTGTTCCCTCGCCTGCCCACGACCTCAGAGAGCCAGGCCGAGAGCAGGACCAGGTGGTGAGTTTGTGGTGGCGACTATTGAGGATCCTCTATAAACTCTCACACTCTATAGTTGGTATTGGGTGGCACAATTTGACCATCCTTTTTAAGTCTCTTGTATAACTCGTGCAACCTGTCCCTTTGTGCCCTCAGTGACAGCGTTTCTGGAGCCCAGAAGACACCAGACTTAGGACATTCTTCCCAAGAGATGAAATCTGAAACATCATCCAACCCCAGCTCCCCTGAAATATGCCCCAACAAAGACAGGTGAGCCAGGAGGAGCCCGTCCTCCTTCCACCATAGCTCAGCAGACATCAGGGAATTTGTCAAAGAAAACCATATCTAAATTCTAAAATAAGTTTGATAGTAAGGGAGAAAAATTCTGGTGATTCGTGAGCGCAGCTCGTTTTTGGTTTATACAAAGAAGAGCAAAAAGCAGCATTTGCCCAAGTCCCCAGGGCACAGAAGGCTGTGCCTGTCCCTCCCTGCCAAGGCAAAGTCAGCTCGACCAGGGCACCCACCCAGTGCCTCATCCCGCCTTTGGACGTGGTTGTGTGCTGAAGCACCCCAAAAGGTTCATTCCTGGGGTCGTGCAGGAGGGTCTGTCCCCCGCCAGAGCCCAGGGGACACAATCCCCTGGTGACAGCCACCGCCCTTGCTTCATTCCGCCTCTCCCCAGGCCTTTGATGAAGCTGAAAGAGAACGGGCGGTCGAACATCTCCCGTTCCTCCTCCAGCACCAGCAGCTTCAGCAGCACGGCGGGGGAGAGCGAGACCCTGGAGGAGTACGACAGCGTGGTATGTCCCGGAGCCTCCCCACAGCACAGCCCTCGCTGCTGCCCCCAGAGCCCGGCTCTGCTGGCACCTGCCAGCCCCCAGGTGCCTCCCACTGCTGGCACGGAGAGGCTCCACCCGCCCCTGGGTGTGAGGAGGAGGAGGAGGAGGAGGAGGAGGAGGAGGAGGGTGGGTGTGCCTGCCGGACACTGGGGTGCCGTGGCTGCCTCATCCCTGGAGGTGTCCAAGGCCAGCGTGGGCAGGGCTGGAGCAGCCTGGTCTGGTGGGAGCGAGGGGCTGAGTAAATGGCCTTTAAAGTCCCTTCAAACCGAGAACCCAAACCATTCTGTGAGCCTTGGGATGCCCTTGCCCAGCCCAGGGTGGTGGGGTGCGGTGGGCACGGGGGCAGCGGGGCACGGGCAGGCTGTGGGGGAAGAGCTGGCTGCAGGAAGAGCCATGTGCTGTGTCTGTGAGCAGGGGAGCCAGCCCTCCACGGCGTCGCCCTTCAAGCAGGACGTGTTTGTGTACAGCGCTTCCCCCGGCAGCGAGAGCCCCGGCGTGGGCTCCACGGCCACCCCTGTCATCATGAGCAGGAGCCCCACGGGTGGGTGACAGCCACACTGCCAGCTGGCACCGGCTCTGCCTTCCCTCCTGGAGCCACCCAGAGCCCCTGCGCTCCTGGAGTGCTGGGCTGGGATGGGCTCTGTGGCTCTGGGATGGGACGGGGTCTGTGCTCTGGGATGGG